CAAAATTCAGACATCAATGGCCAAATGCTTTGCACCCATCACATCCATAAGGAAATGCTGCTGCCACCAATGCTGATTTTCCAGTTGTTTCACTGTTTGCCTTCAAGAAAGAGCACATATGATTCACTTTTTACTGGGAAGTTTAAGTATCTCTTCCCAAGGGTTGGATAATTAGATAACTATCACGTTATCTGTATTATTACTGATGAAATGCAACCTAAATTTCATTAGGCATGGTCCAAACAGGTTTTGAAGGCTGATGAAGTGCACTGCTCAGAACTGTGAGTGCAGTGCCAGGGCTTCCCTGTCCTCTGACCATCTCAAAGCACGTGGTCACTGCTGTGTGGCTTGATGCCAGTTCTTCAAGTGTCAAGTGTGGTTTGATGCCAGTTCTTCAAGTGTCAAGTGATGCTTTCAAGATTCACACTGCAAGCAGCAGGACTGAGGACTGACTTGCCAGGGTGATCTCAGGCAGTGATGAAAGTAGGACTTTTCAAAGGCTGATGCTTTGGGAGCTTTCTACCAGACTGTGGGAGTATTTTGCTAGTGGTACACCTGGTTGCTAGCTCGACTTACAGTGAGAATTCAGAGATAGGAGGCAAATTCATTTTCTGGGCCCTAATAAGTATGTCTTCCCAGAAAACAAGTTTCAGCAGACTCCTTATGTGGGACTTATGTGTTTGATTATGTCCTGACACTGAAAAAGAGACCTAAGCCAGTTTTCAGAGAGTATTCAAGCAACCTGTCTGCTTTTAACCCTGGTTTACCCACAGATGTTCCTGCAAGTCTACTGACAATCATCTCTTTCCTTTTGAAATCAGGTATGATTGCATGCTTGGCTTCACTTTTCCCTGCAATGAAAAAGCAAGAGAAATATCTGAAAGCTTTCCCCCCTTAGAGACATAAAAATGACATTACATCTTCAGCACAGGGTGGGGCATAATTCCCTGATCCTTCCAGACAAAGGCTGACACATTTCACCTGTGCTGTTGATTTAAGTGAAGACCAACACCCCAGAAATACAGTTGTTTCTGCAACAGAATATGGGGCATGAAATAGGGGCTGCATATCAGTCTTCTTAATAATGATCTCCTCAGAGCTGTATTAACGAGCTGGAAGTGAGCAGAGCAGAATTTCTTCCCCTTGAACTTAGACTAGCAGCAGGACATGAAGGAGCTGTAATAGAATGTTATTTTACAAGAAGTAAATAATGTAATAGAGTCTATAAGGATGTCAGCAGGAGAGTTAGAACTGTCATAGCATAATCCTGACTTGAGCAGCAATGTGTGAAAAAGTAGCCTGCAGCAGTTTTTCCAGTACTTCAATAATTTCTGCTTTCTCACTGATCTTTGTTTACTCTACTTACCTTGTCAAAAAAATGTTTTACCTTATGTTAAAATGCTAGCTAAAAGAGGAAAATGTATTCCCAGAAATCCCAACTTTTCAAGCATACACATTTTGTTTTCTTTTCTGTTGTTGTTGTTGTGGAAAAGAGGGAAGAATTGTATTCCCTTCACTTAAAAAAATATGAAGAGTAGTAAAACCGTAAATAAAAAGAAGCTGCCTGTGTCTTTGTTGCTTCTTTTTCCTTCAGACTAATGAATAATTCAGAAAATTGGCAGTATTAGACTTCACATCCTTGTGATATGACGGCAGATTTTCCAGTGAGTCCTCAAACGTAAGCTCAGGAGGGTCATGAAACTACACAGTTATTGTTATTGGAATGCAGGAACATCTTCCAAGGTACTGCAGCACCTTTATATCATCACTGAAGCAAGGCAGAGAGGGCAAGTTTGCAACTAAAGAAAATGCTAAGTATTAAACTGAAGTTACAAAAAAAGGGGAAGGGGGGGCTAACTCTCTTTTTTTGTCATTTCTCTTTTCATATGACATCTATTTATATTTTCTTAAACCATTATTACAGAAATGTTGTAAAGACAAGGGGGACAAACTAACCCAAACTTTCAGGATGGTTTTGCTCATTCTTTGACACCGTGCAAAGAATTCAGACTATGCACCCTCAGACGAATACTCTCACAAGCCTTCCCTGGCACAAATTCCATCTGACTTTCCACAGGATCCAGGCTCCTCTATTTTTCTTTTTAGAAAGTGTTGCTTCTGCTGTTACTTTGCTACCTGGTGCTCTTGCAGAACCCAAGCTGCTCTGCAGTTCTCTCACCCCATCCCAGTTGGAGCCTAGGGAATACTATGCCATGTTTTAAATTCAGATTGTATTGGCTCCTCTTGGTTTGAGACAGACCTTTAACATCAGTCTGGTGTAATGTGTTTGTATGGTATATTTGTCTTGGTTTTAAGGAAATACATTAAAAACCTTTCACTGAGAATATGAGATATTGCATTGTCCTTGAAATTGTATTTGGACCTTCAAAGCCATTTAATCTCAATTAAAGCAGAGCATACAAGATAAGGTGCTCTGAAGATGCATTAAAGCGTGTTATAGTGCCAAGCCTCCCTGCACTCTGACACATCCTAAAAGCACTGTGGCACTGGTTTAAAGGTGTGGTTCAGAAAGCTCCCTGTGCCCCATTATCCATGGATCATTAGCATAACTCAGAACTCTTCCAGAGCACTGTGCCAGTGTGTGCTAACAAGTGCTGTTAATGTATGAAGCCTTGACATGATAGATTGTAATGCCTCTGGCTCTGTCATGTCAGAGGCAGTTTGTGCATTAAGTCAAACACACCAGGGGATTAGATAGTTAAGAGATTGGAAATGCACCATAAAGCCTTTTAATTCAGAACCACCATTTGTAATCCATGCTCGAACTGCAAAGTGCAACCAGAAGTTTGACCTCAGATGGATGGTCAGAAATTTATTTGAAATGAGTTTAGGGTTCTCAGTACAGTCCTTCCACCATGGGATGACATCCTTCATATCATTCCTACTGGGATCCTGAGGGCTGTGGGTGAAATGAAGCCCAGGCTGCCCTCACAGCTGAGCGAGCACAAGACATTTCAGGGTGACATGAGCGAGTTTGTGCTGCCATTGATTTTGTTGCACTAATTCAGAGGATAAACAGAGGACTCAATTCTCCAGAGTTATCAATCTGGCACCTTTCAAGCACATTTAGATTGGCATGGGCTTTTGTTTTCTGTTTTCTTTTTTTTCCCTTCCTAATTACATGTTAAGTGCAGCAGTGTTAACAGATGTCACTAGAATATAATCTCCAAAGATTTCAAGAGCAAATAACACTAGGAAAAAATTGATTCACAAAGAAATGTTTAGCTATCACGATCATTGAAAATAAACTACATTATTTTCTTAAATGCCTAGTTCAAATACTGGTTTTGGAGTTATTTTGACAGAAGATTTTGTCAAGGGTGCCAGCAAACAGTGTTGAATGACAATCATACAGGAAGAAGATGGTGTAACAGTCAGAATTCACCAGTCACAAAGATGAAAGGCATTGGATCATGGTTTTTACAGGCATCTAACCTCCACACTTACAATATGGTTCTTATAGCAAAATCCTACTGTGCCAGAAAATACATTTATATTTGTAACATGCCGAAAATACTATAAGTACCATCATGTCCTGGTTCTACTTCCTCCTTGCTCTTTGAGCTTAGGAACACATTTTTGTATTTCTGTCCTTAATTTGTTAGCTGATTTTTTTAAAGCAGATCACTTACTAAATAAATCTGTTGTTAATAAATTTATGGCTGGTTTGACAGATAAATTAAAAAAAAAAAAAAGAAGTATGTAGCAACCTGAAGTAATGAATACATCAGAATGCCTACTTAGATCCCTACAAAGTAATGCCCTCAGAAGCACAGAGCTCCCATAGCTTCCAAAGAAGGGGGTGACAGCTCTGACAGCAGAGCTGTTTTAGTACCTTTGCCCACATGTGGTCATGCACACTAAAAGTGATGCCCACAAAGCCTGTCATACCTCTGTCATAATAACTGATTAGTAGTTAAGCTTCTTTTTGGAGTTCATTGGCCTTGCCTCTTTATTTTACACTAATAGACAGCAGTAATTTTTAATATGTCTATTTTGGATATGGCAAAGCAGGTCACAAACAGATGAACACACTGACATATAAATACTTCACACAAACTCTCTTTGTAGCTCATGTACAAGGACTTTATGTTTGTTTACTGCTACCCTGGTCTAGTGCCACAAGTAACACCAGCAAAACCAGAAGAATAATCTGTGAAAATTGATTCTACATAAGATGAGAATATCCCTGACCCTTATCACAACCTCTGTTGCTTATATTCCACTGGACCACAGCACCTGGAGCTGTATCAGCACCTCCAGTTCAGACAAGACTCTGAGCTGGCTGGCTGGGAAGGAGGACTAGCCAGAAAGAAACCAGCTTGTCTGGCCCCTCAAGGCATGGGGAGAGCAGATGTGCATCTGTCTGCAGCTGATCATAGCTTTTTTTCCACTTGTTTTCCCTTCCAGCTTTGCCCCTGGACTTTGGGATGAGATCTGCTCCTCTTGCCCATCCTGAGTAACTTAAGGGGTTCATATTCCCCTGGGAGAAAGCCCATCAGCACCATTCCCACTGGCATTTTTCCACAGGCCCTGAAGTCTCCAACACCAGAACAGAGACTGCCCCAAAGCCATTGCAGAACAGCTTCAGCTGTGTGTGATGCTCTTTCTCTGTGCCACTGAAAAGCAGTTTCAGCAAAGCACATCAAAATTGTGCAGTTTTACCCTCACACTACTGTATTCTCCTCACTGTCCATTGATCAAAATGTGAACAGAGTCTAGGTTGTACCTTATTAATCACCTGGTTCAGGCTCATATTTCCAGTATTTCTGGAACTATTTCAGTGATGAACTGTAGATGGAGTTATTAACCCACCAGAAGCATCTGACAGAGAAAAAGGAAAAGACTCTCATCGATTCTTCTCCAAAACATTTCCAATCTTTTCAATTGTTTGTTCATCTACTAAAAATAGTATATTTAAAAGCACAGAATGGCAGAAGGCTGGAGTTGTTGAAGCATATGACAGATATGACAGATACCTGGTTTGGAAATGCCACGGGACTTCTTGTCCACATACCATTGTTCACCTCTGAACACTTCTTACCAATTCTACACCTGCAGACAAAGAACAAAAACCATAAATACAACAGGAAAAGAACAGGAGAGATTTCAGGATCAAAAAATACACAACCAACCTGCCCCTCAACAAACCACACTCGTAGAAACACAAATGGCCAAATTTACTTGATTACATTTCATTTTAGGAGTAGCAATAGCTCCTCACTGTTGCCCAGCTATCAGTTCACATCACAGCTCACTCACTCTCATATTTCAGCCTTGTTTTCACCAGTATTTGAACTTGGGTAATGATCAACCCACTGTTCAGTAACATCACCACTGGGTGAATGCAAACAAAACCAGGTTCACTTTCCAAGATATGCCATCAGCCTACTGAAAATATCAGGATGACATTCCCTTTGTAATAGAAGATCTCTCAATTGTTACAATACTTGCACATTTCTAAGGAAGCAGAACACCCAGTCTGCTGTGGGTTAAGATAATCCCCTGGAACTGCATCATAAGCAAATTTTATTCCTGTTCAGTGATTTATTTAAATGCAGTTATCTCTGAAGGATAAGAAACAAATCCTCAGGGTATTCACAGAAGCAGGGAGTTAGGGCACAAGGGGATTTTTCACCTTCACATTGAATTAACTGACTTTATTCTAAAATGAGGATGGTCAACCAGGATGATCAACCAAGCATTTGCCCAAGACTACAGAACACAACTAGCAGAGGAACTCTGCTGACCTGAAGGGGTTTTGAGTAATCTAAAACCTCAGCTGTGGGAGCAAGTGAATTAACAGAGACTACTGGGGCTGAAAACTAACAGCCAGTCCTCAACAGGATCCTGGAGAGCTATTTGAATTTTAAGACATTCCTCATCTCCTCCTTCTCTATCCTTTTTCCAAGAGGTTTAGTATGCATTTTCTTATCACCCTCAGCAATATGAAGATATCGAGACAAGGTTTGGAAAGTTAGGAAAGCTGGTATGATCTCTTCTAGCCAGCTGTTCTCAGCATCTCCTGCTGAGGCAAACATGGAAGCATCCTCTCACCTCAGGAGATCCCCAGGGGAACCTCTGGAGCGAAGAGGACCAGAGCAGCCAGAGCACCACTGCTGACACAGAGCACTCAGCAGGAGGAGACACACGTGTTTATAAAACTGGATAAGAATTTGCATTATTACTCGTATATTACTCGTATATTTTCAATACTCCCATAGATTCTTCTTTATGTCTTCTGAACATGAAAGAACATGTTGATCTCCTTAATAGGTTTTTCTTCTTTACTCATCTATGTCCCTATTCATATATATGTGATCCACTGTTGGATCAAGGTCAGACCTTTAATTTACAGCAGGGCATTGTAGGAGGTGGACTTATTCTGAAAATTGCCAACACAGACATTCATTATTGTCAATAAGAGTAAGATAGTCCTGGTACCTTCCATGTAAGCCTATATAATGTTAAATATCCAAGTTTTCTTATGTAGATAATGCCACAAGACAAACTGCACACAGAAAACTGTTCACATTTACAGGGAGTATGAAGATCACACCTTTTAGCCAACTTAAAAGTATGAAAAGTTACCATTTAAAAATAAAATGCTTTGAGAAATGTTTGTTATAATCCATACTATACTACAATTATTTGAGCTGAAAAACCTCCACACCTAGCGAGGCAGTAATTTGATGGATTACTGGAAGAAACAAGCCATAATAATGTGTTCATGTTAAGATTCCACATTAAATGGAATAATTACTTGAAAAAATGTATGTCTGATTCTCTGTTACTCTGATTCTCAGTTACCCCAGGACTACTTCAGACTCCTCTGATGAAACACCCTCAGACCATCAGTGGTGTTTATGCAGCAGAGAAGAAATGGGAGTTCGGGCTGATAATTATATACTGGAGAACGTATAGCTGTTTTTTGATGTATTGTATTGAAGGTGCCGTGGAAGTGCTAAATGAGAGCTCTCAGAACTGTTGGTGTGGCTGTGCAGAGCAGCTCTGTGTCACACATTTTTGGCAAGGCACCACTAGAGGTCTGTCTCTGCCTGTGCTCGGTGGTGGCACCGCTCGCTCCTGGAGGGCCTGGACATGAACTCACATTTTGGACCACAGCTCCTCTTTGTGCTTGAGACAATTTACCTCATATAACCTGGTATATAACACCCACTTATTGAATTAACTGTGTAACAGACCAATTAACTGCAGCTATTTCTCTCTATAAGTGAGTGAATGAGATCGTTCTCTTCCCCTCCACAATAAGACACGTTTGTAGTGAAGAGTTAAAGGAGGCTGGATAAAGCAATGTAGCACTAGTTTGAGTGTGATCCAAGAATTATTGAAGGCAGTGAGACTTTTGCTATTGACTTCAGTTGCACCAGGGTCTGCAAAAGGCCACTTTACTAAAACAGAGTTGTTCATTTTGCTGCATCATTTTAATAGACTCATGTATTGCTCAACCCCTAATGGTGAGTTTACCTTTTAGGTTGTGTGTATGTACACTAATCTGTCTCATATTTTGTACTTTTTTCAGGCTGACTCAACTAGTTGGTTTATTAAGGGTTTTTCACACTTCTTACACATTAAGTAACCCTGACTTGCACACTCAGTCCGCACTCCCCAAGCAGTGTGAGAGCTGAGCTCCTGAGGAAATGCTGCCACAGACATACCCAGGGTAGCAGCTGCTCAGCGGAGCACATAAATTCCTTCCTGTGTGATTCAGTGTCTTTGGCTGACTCCTGCCAGAGAGCCTGCACAGAGATCCACCTCAGCATCACTGCCATCTGTAAATTAACCTGAGGCAAGGAAGGCAGCTACAGCTTCCAGCCATTTGTGCCACCTCTCCACAGGAATTTGCTGCCTCGTGCCAGGACTAAGAGGATCCCCTCAGGTGTTGAGGTTTGTGTGTGGACTGTTCATGACAGGGTAGCAAATGGCTCTCCCATCAGCTCTTAGGGATCCATCCCACCTCTTCCTCCTTTTTCTCCCCTTATTATAGCCTTTATCACCAGTTGTTGGAAAGAGGTGGAGAATTGTATAGGATTAGGTGTCCACAAACTTTAAATCTGACTTCAATCCATTGTCATTGGCACACAATTTGGCTGTACTAAGGGGATCAGTGAGCACATCCCTTGCATATGTTAAAGTCCCTCATAGTTAAGAGTGGTGTAGTCATCTGGCTTATTTTCCCTCACAGTAAATAAACAATTCTTTCTTTTGGTGTGTGGACCTGCTAATATCTCCATTTCCATTTGAGAAACTGAGTTACAGTGAGTCTGAGTAGTTTGCTGAAGGTCCACTCACAAGATTTCTGGCAGACCAGAGAGAAAGCCAGGAGTGGAAAAGACAACTAGAGACTTGGATACTCAGTGTTTCATCAGGCTGGCAGCAGGTTCTTAGACTTATTGAAAGTAGTGTTCCACAGAATGCTCAATTACTCTTTGGAGTTCAGTATCATTTAATGTTATGGAGAATATGAAAGACAGTTGTGTTTGTCTGTCTAACAGACAGACTTTTTTGTATTGGACTAAATACAAAAGTCCTCTTGCAACAGCAACAAGTCCAACCCATTGGATGAGTGGAAAAGGTTCACTGTTACACACATATTCCTTAAACAGTCCCCCATCTTCCACCCTGCTCTCTCTGGAGGCAGGATGTTTCACAGAAGAGGATTTGTGTTGAGGTTACTGCTCCAGCCCAGAGGAGAGAGGAAAGCTCTATTTCATGAGGGATATCCAGCAAGCAAGTGCAGTTATGGTTATATAGTGCAAAGAGGATTTGCAGGGAAGGAAGAGTTATTTTTACGACTTTCCTCTAAGGTTTAGAGGCTTTGTTCCTATAAAAAGTATCATGTCTTAGTTGAGAACAGCTGGTTCAGGATATGCCATGGAACAAGCAAACAGCAGTGACACAGTTTGCAGCATGGCCAGAAGACTAAGCTGGTAAAGTCAATCCAAGTGGTTTTCCCCTTCCATGGATGGGAAATCACTCCTTTCTGACCTGATACACACACTTACAACACACCAGGTGTGGAAATCAATATGAATAAGAGAAGAATCAATCAGAATGAGAGAAGACAGAACCTCAAACGGGAGCCTTTCCACCTTTTTTGACCCAAACATGGTACAATGGTTGTAAGGGTAATTGTGAAACTAAGGGCACTGCAATGTTGTTTTTGCTTTGCAAAGCAAATGCCAGTTCTCCAAGAGCAGTGGTAACTGATGGCAGCTCAAGGCTATATCCATTTTTATTCCATGAGTGTACCAGGAACTAGTAGTGCTGGGAGCTTGTTGTGGAAAATGAGGGCATCTAAACAACTACTTGTTTACATAAATATTCTAAATATGACTTTAGTAAAGCACTGGGGTTATAGAACTAATTACCCTGCTCATCTCCTCACTGACTTCCATGCCTGTACCTATTCCCCTTTAGGATGGATATCTCATTTTTCATATGGATCTGTATATGCCCTGGCTTTTATTGATTATTATGTGAAGGTCAAACCAGATACGTGTTTTTTCCTCCCCAGGATCCTGTTCCCAATGCTACATTTATTAAGCAAGAACATTATTAGCAAATGTAGCAAGAAATTAAAGCAAATTAAAATAAAACCAAACACAAGCCATGCATTTACATGCTTATTCTTGTTTAATGATAGACTTCAGTGCATGTTTATGGCTCTGCCTTTCAAGGAAGCTGGAGCTCCTCAAAAAAATCCTTATCTTCTTATTTTTCCTCTCATTTTCACACTGCATGCTTCTTACACAGTCTTTAACCTCTTTTTTCCCCACCATTAATACTTTAAAGCTGGCAAAATTCTAGCCAAACAGAAGTATCCAGAGAGAATGCCTTTACCATTTAGTTGAAAATTGTAAATCACCTATGGGTTGTTTTTTTTTCTCAAAATGAGAAAATTCTCCTGGATCAATTGAAACATTTAGTTCATTTCTCAACACCAATGTTTCAGGTTTTATTTCTCAGGATTTTTTTTTCCTCATAAGCTTCTAAATTATGTTTATGTGAGTTTATCTGTAAACTAATTCAGAGGAGTGTTTTCTGAAATGTAAGAAATAAAACCTAACCTTTTTTATAGTTTTTGTATTTTAGACAAAGAATCTTCTGAAGCTGAAAGCAATCGTGTTTATTAACCCGAAGCTGCATTTTTTAGCAAATTACTAGTGCTTGTTTATAGTTCCCAGTTAGGCAGACAGACCATCCAAGAGGAAGTTCACGTGACGCTTTTGCAATTTTCTTAATGGCTGAACTGATCTGGTGCT